GTCTAAGTAGACTGGGAAACACATACCACTCCAGATCTAAATTGTTTAGATAGTTGGAGAAACATCTACCACTTCAGGTCTGAGTTAGACTGGGAAACACTTACCACTCCGGATCCGAGTTGTTTAAGTAGACTGGGAAACACTTACCACTCCGGATCCGAGTTGTTTAAGTAAACTAGTAGAGGAGCCAGCGGGACTTAAACCTGCTCCACCCACAGTGTTGTAAAGAGCAGTAGCCGAGTAACGTCTAGCGCCGCGCCCAGATGCAAAGTAGTCAATTCCCAGGCTAGCAGTCGATATCGGCTGGAAGGGAGAAAAAAAATCCCCTAAAGATGAGCAGCTGTTTCTCAATTAATATTTGTTTTAATGAATGTTATGATAATATTTTACCATACACTAATGTTTCGTGAGATGGGGAAAACAACTTCTGCTACATACATAAAGAAATATGTCTAACCCATTCTACACATAGTCGTTATAACAAACAAACAAGACACCAACATAGAAAACGCGTGTTTGCTTGTCAGTTTGAAATAATACAATACATTTTAAATTTAGGAACTTGTATAGGATTTTCTTTTTTCTCACAAACTCGTCATTATTGTATTTCTACTAACCTTCGGCGTAATGACCTGGAACTTAATATCTTGGGGGTTAGCACTGGAATGACGTCTCATCTGCACGTTTCCTGCGCTAGGGCCTCGTGACAAGCTATTTTCAGGGCTAGAGGGCGCTACCAGAATTCTTGGTGGTTGAATGGTGTTGTCGGAGTGACGTCGTCCTGGTAACGTCGCTTGGACACGCAGTAAATTTGAGTCGGGGGATGAGGATGCTTAAGGAAACCAGAAAATGAAGATAAATGATGGGTTATTTTAGTGTCAGAACCTCTTAGAAGGTAGCAAATATAAAGATAATTCTGTCCTTATTAGGAAAACTTAAAAGAAAGCTTTTAAAAAATGGAATAACGAATTTGCTAATATTCATTTTTTAATTCAAGGTTGCTTAAAATTTTTGAGTTCATCTTAATGACCCTGTATTTATTCACTAACTTTTGTTAAAGATTGATTTTGTCCAAGCAAACAAATATTACAATCATCGTATCCTTCCCAGTTCTGAGAGCAAACAAATATGATTTTCCATTGTTCTGTATTCGTAGCTGCCTGTACCAACCTTCTGCCAAACTCCCATCAGATCTAATTATGTTTCCAAAGTAGAACATCTTTCGGTACCAAATATATCCAGCAGTCATATTTATGTCTCTGCTTCCTCCTTAGTTTCAATGCAGCTGATTCGTCTATAACACCGCATTCCAGATGTTTCTAACCCTCTTTTTGTTTCGGTGGACAAAATCCAAATGCCCACCCAGTAGAGTAGGACTGACAATACGTAATATTTTAGCCATACCCTTTTCCAGTTCTTCTTAACAACAGCTACAGTTAAGGCCAAATTTCTCAACCCAAGTTCGTTCCAGTGAATGTTCGAAAAATAAACATGATTGCTGTTGAGAGTAGTAGGCCTTTAATTTTTGTACAAAAATACATGACCCACGTAAGTCATGTTGCAATACCCATTGGTAAATACCCTGTTTTTGTGAATACGTTTTTATAAACTTTATATATACGGGCCTGTTTGTAGGTCCATCCTTTATGGGTCCAATTGGCTACGAGGTTGTGAGTAACACACGAGTTATATAATCTAAAATGCCATCAATAATGTAAATAATCTCACTAACTATTACTGGGGTTTCCTTTCTATTTTACATATAAAAATGAGTGATGTTACTCAGTACGTTTGGTTCGTTCTTTACTTTGTGGACTTCAATATGTGTGGACCACGCCGGTAGTAGACGGTACAGCGTGTGTGTGGACCACGCCGGTAGTAGACGGTACAGCGTGTGTGTGGACCACGCCGGTAGTAGACGGTG